ACGATAGAAGAGATTCAGGCAGAATCGCAGATGGTGCTTGACAGGCTGACAAAGAAAGATTTCCAGGGATGCTTCCAGGCTTGGCAGCGGCGCTGGGATCGTTGTGTTCACTCCCAGGGGAACTACTTCGATTGTGATGGATGAATTTAATACCTGAGATAAGTGTACGGGTTTTTATACGCGCAGTCTGGAAAACATCCGATCGCACCTCGTATGTTAGACGTAATTTAAATGTAGAAATGCCGTCAAATGGCGGACGAAAACTGAACTAAATTTAACTACTCACGACATAATGTTTTATCGTAATGATAGATTTTAATTAATAATGTATCGAATGTTTAATCAGAGCAAGCTAAACTCATTTTATGCAACTTATTTTAAATGTTTGTGCTTCGTTTTGAAAGTACTATTTGAAATGTACATTCGTCGTTAAAATTGTCCGATCTTCATGAAGACTGATGTTAATGTATCTATCTACAGTTTTTTGCAAAACTTTCAAGTATCAAGTTTTATTAAAATTGGTTTATCCGTTCTGAAGTTGTTTCATGTAACCTCAGAAAATGATCACGATGTGCGTCACACCAGCTGTGCATAAACTCGCCATATTTTTCCTACTACTCATAAATACCGTAGGTAGAACTGGATCCACCGATTATGGCCGTTGACCTTGTACGGGGTGCCCAGTATGCTGACCACTCAATGAAGGAAATAAGGAGTTTCCGTCGGTCAGTATAGTCTGTGTCACTGCAGAAGTGTAGAAGCCTGATAATTGTTGTCTTGCGACTGTGCTGTGTTAACAACATGCTAGCTGTTCGCTGCATTCTCCTTTCAGGTCGTATAACAACACTCAGACAGACAAACCACCGACGCCTTAATCAAAGAATGACGAAATGAAAGCCTGGCTATTGGAAATAAATATCTCATTTTGTGACAACGTGTTGAAAGCTCAACTGTACAATTTAATCAAATTAAATAACTCTAAGCACAAATATTACGTGATTTATCAGATTTTAGCAGACAAAGAACGTCCTGTGCTGAGAATTCCCGATTAAAACCCCATTGAACTTATTTGGACAGATGCAAAACAATGGGTTGCAAGCAAGAACACAACATTTAAAATTAAGGACGTCGAGCATCTGTGTCGCCAGAGATTCGAAGAAATTGGGCAAGAGGAATTTGATAATATATGTCAGCATGTTGAAAAACTTGAACAAATTTATTATGAGCAAGAAGGCATAATCGAAGACGCTATTGAACGTATTATAATTGAAGATTATGGAGCGAACAGCAGCAGAGGTAGTGATGAATCGAGTGATTTGTCAGGGATCGAAGGTCTGTGAATAAGATAAAATTATGTAATAATCTCTGCAGTGTTAATTATCTAGTGATCTGTAGTGTAGTGTAGAGAAATCTACTTTCCTGTGTTACATATCGTGGTGATATCTTATTTGGAGTGTACCGTACGCGGCCTCCTGCCATCCCTTCCAGCAAACTTCCGGTAACTGACTCGCTCCAAGGTTCCAATTCACAAAAGTTCATCGGCCAAAAACGCTGGTGACAGCGCTGGCGAAGGTGTGTACGCTCTTAACCTTGTGATGTGTCATAAGTTGTTCGGTTAAAATCGTGGCTTTGCGATTAATTATGTAATAATCCCATCGCGTATCTGAATAGGATTTAGATATCCTGATCAGCAAACGAGATCAAATCCGTGTCTTCGCCTATCTGATGCACGTTGTATCCAGGGTAGATAAAGATAGTAGCCACGAGAAATTTGAATTGAGGGTTCCTCTAATGCGAAAAATTCGCGGTAGACGGTGGCAGAGGTCTGCATGGGCCGGGTCGGCCCTCATTCAATTGAAAGCAATCAAACTTCGTATAGAATTACATAATGGGCTCCAACATCAGTTTTAGGTCCAATTTCTGTCTCGTCCCAAGAAGATTCTGTGCATCTGTCTGTAATTCACTGATAACACATTTGTGGGTGGTGCCATTGTGTGTTGTTAAGAGGCCCCACTGCAGCAAGGATTTTGAGAGGGGCGTAGTGACTGTGAAAATGTAATAATAATGAAATACTAACATGTCCAACCGGGTGAGGGATTTTGTTAACTCAAAGGGTCTACCGTTATTGAAACAGGATATCACGTGGGGCAGGACTTAACTAAGCTCTTTATTAAGTGTTCCTTCTTAGGAACGACATTCACGAGCTGTGTGTCAGTTCGGGCGGCTTTGATTCTTACATTGATTTGATGACCATTCAGTTTAGAATTATTTTTTAATCATTCTCTTCAGAAAACGAAATGCACTCTGAGGGCATCTGAGTCAACGTGCTGAAGTGAATATTAGGTCTTGCTTCATCATATTATGTACAATATTGTACAACTTTAGCTTTCGAGGATGAGCCACTTAGTGTGTTCTAAATTATCAAACGTTTCGGTAAATATTATAGTTGCCATCTTCAGGGTGAATATGTGATGGTTGAACGTTATTGGAATCCTTATATAGGGAAGACAGTATGTTCCAGTTGGATGTGATGGGGCTGTTACAGATGTTAAGGAGCGGGGTTAATTTTATTTACAGAACAGCGGCCCATTCGGTAACCTGAAAATAACACACGCCTGTCGAAACGTATAATTACATAATTTATCTCATCAAAAAGTGTGGAATGAAAACAATGTTAATACTGAATAATTTATAATTTGTACTGTACAGGGAATAATATCAATGAGATTAAATAAGGGAATATGAGGTAGATGACGTAGGCTTACAAACGCTTGGCTCGAAAACCTAAAGGGAAAATATCATTTGGAAGACCTAGGCATAGAAGGAAGGGATGTATTAAAATGTATCATAAGTAATTAGGGGTGGACTGAATACTTCTGTTTCGACAAGGGACCAGTTTCTTGTTCTTGTAAAACGGTCGACCTATTGAAAATTCAAGGTTCATTAAAGGCGGGGTACCTGTGGAATGCAAGTGTGTCCGAGTTGGCATCATCTCTGATAAGGGCTGGATACAGCGAGCATTGGTGGAGCTAGCCAGGCGTGAGTCTCGACGGTGCGTGTGGTAGGACTTCCGGCTTTCAGAGTTTCCATGTGGCACTCCTAGGTCTTTACGTCGGAATGCCACACGCACTCACATCGCCAAGACAGTTTCTGATTCACCTTATGCTACATGTTTGCAGTGATATCGAAGTACGCACATACGAGTGTTGAAATTTAATTTCGGATGCGGGAAACAAATGAACTTATGACTCCGTGGAGTCTTGAGAATGTAATGGTCGCTCATCTAGCCAACATTTTTTCAGTTTTATGGGACTCTCAAGGCTCCTACCCTGAGCCAGATTAATCCAGTCCACACCATCCCACACGTTCTTACTTTAAGATATGTCTTATTATCATCCTCTTCCTACTTTCTCATCTTTCGACTGAAAGTTTTTATGGTTTTTTGTCGT